ACACCGACTGAATTATCTCACAAGTCTACTAAGAAAAAAATCTTCATTTCTGAAAAAGAAAACAGAAGAAATTTTCATGAAGCTACAACATCTATGGGGAAAAAAGTAATAATTGCTAATCATGGCATTCAATACCTTTCATAATCTACTAAGAACCCCTCTATTAGCTTCTTTTCCCAATATTTCTTCCTATATTGCTTATTCTCCAGCCTTTCTGAATATGCCTGGGTATATATTTCAAAACTTACCTCAAATGTCATCTCCTCAATTTAGTCTAATTTTTCCCTTTTTGTGAAAAGAAGTAAAGCCTTACCTCCACTATACTTACAAATCACATTATTACAATGAGCACTAGTTTTCACTCATTCAGTGTAGTTACTTTGTGCCAGGCACTTAAAACATAATTACTTATGTGTAAGCCCCCTGGGTTAAGTATTGATGTTCTTGTTCATCTTGGTATTCCCTACAGCATAACACCTGACACACAGAAACTCAAAATATTGGCCCAACAAATTAAAACCGAAGACAAGGTACTAAATCCCACTGACATTTTACCTAATTAAAATAAAATTTAAAAACTACATTTGAAATCTAAATCTATTATTTCAATAGTACTAATAAAATATCTATTTGTTTTTGCTTCAAACTACTGATAAGTTATACTAAAGTAGAGGATTGTGGACTAATTTAATTTTTTTAGCCTATCACTACTCATATTAACATTTTAAAATGTGATATTACAAAAAATAAAACTTTAAAGGTGTTTTGTAGGTATGGACACGATATGAGAACTAGGAAAAGGTAGCATGATAAAAAAAATAATGTAAAAGAAAGTTTCAAGATAGTGTGGCATACTGAAGTCTAGTTAAAAGAGAACTAAAAGTAGGCCAACAGACTTGGCAATTTGATCAATTCGGTATAGTAATAAAAGAGTAGAACAGAATATAGTCTCATGAGAGTAAAGAAGTAGAGTATGTGAATTTAAGGTATTATTTCAGCAATTCTAGAAATAAATGGAAGACAAGATTTAATGGCAGGATGCAGTAGAGTTTTATTTTTTTGTATACATGAGATTTTGACATTTTTGTAGTCAAATAAGTCAGAGAAGATAAGCAAGGTTTCAAGAGAACAGGATCAAAGAGTAAGTGGAAGGATTACCCTTCGAAAAGAGAAAAGTTACCTCCTACTTAAAGAAAGTTAAGAGACTACAATAGAGACTTTGTTTACAAGTTCCTTTTTTACCCAGTACCCCTACTATAACTCCCAAATAAAACCACCAAGGCCAAGTGACCTCACAAACAATGAAATATCAGTATCCACTATGATTATAACACTGGTATGCCTGTATTATTACTGTGAACTCCTCCATTAAAAAAAAAAAAAGGCCAATTGGCACATAGAGCAAAGCTTGAATAGCGTCTTACTACTACTGGGTTACATTAAAGGCATTATGCCTACATATTGGATCATGTCTCTTGGAAACAGGACACAGAAATCAGTGTCAAATAATGGTACAAGAAAAATTCAAATGAAATACTGAATTAAGTCCACACAAATAATGTAATCAAGGCTGAAAACAAATAACGTTCGGTCTTTATCCTTGGTTTTTGGTACAAAGCCTCAAAAACTCGTGGAATCTCCTTAGTGATAAGAGTATCTTTGTTATGCTAATGACATAACTCAAAGTAGCCCACTAGATAGCTTATGGATGAGGGCTGATGACCACAAAGACCAACAATGTGATTAGAGGGTTGAGACTTTGAGCTTGGCCAATTTCTGAGGAAGGAAGGGAGGCTGGAGACTTGAGTTCAATCACATGGCCAATGACTTAATTGATCAAGCCATGGAATGAAGTCCCAATAAAAACTCTGAACACTGAAGCTACACTGAAACAGATAAAGCTTCCTGGCTGGTGAATTCACTGATGTGTAGGGAGGGTGCCATAATTCCATGAGGAGAGGAAGCTCTGCATTTCCTCCCAGATCATGTCCTGTGCGTCTTCATTTCATTGGGCTCCTAATCTGTATCCTTGATAATAAAACTGTAGTCATAAGTATAGTGCTTTCTTGAGTTCTGTGAATTTTTCCAGTGAATTATCAAACCTGAAGGTGTCATGGGGACATCCAAATTCATAGCCAGATCAAAGCGTCGGTCAAAACTGCGGATGCCTTAGGGACACCTGAAGTGTGGCTGGCATCTGAAGTAAAGGCAGTCTTGTGAAGGGCTCAGCCTTTAACTTGTGAAGTCTGATACTAACTCTGAGTTAATGTCAGAGCTGTATTACAATATATCCAACTGGGAGTGAAACAAAATGTCTTTAAGCCAATAAAGCAGCAACTGTTGAACATTGTTAAAAAAAAAAAAGTCTTGGACATTCTTACATCAAAGTTAGGTTATTGACATAAACAACGATTTAAGATGGCCTATTCACTCATAAAATATCCATGGCTCTCATTACTCAATAAAGGAAATAAATTCTTGAAAAGTAACAAAAATCTATCCAACTATTAAGGTTAAATAATCACAAAGGGACTCTCAAGAAATTATATAAGGTCCTTACCTGTTCTGATCCTACCTATTCCCACATTTACAAGGACCACCTGCCAACTTACCAGCAAAAGACCTGCTCCTATTTGTGACAGAATTCCGACTTTTCCATTTTATGGTAAGATATTAACATTTCCCACTGATTTTTTGAGGGAAAGACCAACTTACATCCCCTTTTCCACTACTACTGGTTGCTAAGCCTTATGTAATGAAAAGATAGCTATTATCAACCCAAAGATCTTCAACTTATTAAAAGTAAACAATACCCTTAACATTTCATTCTCATTTATTCAAAAAATGCACTTAACATTTCATGTTGCAGAAGTAACACTGTTAAGTATTTGTCAAATCTGTTCTAGAACAAGAGTAAAATAAAATTTCAGGAAAAAAATAACTGAATACCTAGTATTTTACAAGAGAGATACCACAGAAATAAGAACTCCACAAATTATTCCTTTAAGAGGTTGTCATCTAATTGAGGAGATGATATATATATTTGAAATAACAGATTCTTAAGTAACATTTTTAAATTCAAAGAGACAAACTGAGGACACAAGGGCTGATTAAATAATCAGAAATCAATGAGAGATTATTAAATAAACATTTAGTTTTCCACTTTATACAATGGTTTGCAGTGGTCACTGAGATACAATGCAACTCAATTTGTGGTCAGTAAAACTATTATTTCACATCCAGCAATTCTGCAGCATGGATGTCTAAGATGGATATTATCGGTATGGACGCTATAATGAGAACTAGAAAAAGGAAGCATGATAAAAGCCAATGGAATAGAAAGTTTTAAGATAGTAAGTGTGAAATTTGAAGTCTAGTTAAAAGAGAAAAAGAGTAGGTCAATTTATTCTATCTGTGCTTAAGGCAAGTTATTTCAGTATTTAAATTTGATGCAATTTTTCTTAAGAATGCTAAGGCAACATCTTTACCTATAATTATTTACAATTATTTGCAGGTAAATTTACAGTACCTACATAAAATCTCAGTTCACTCCTGACATTTTTATATGCCTTAACATTATTACTAATTTCAGAATAAATTAGAGAAAATCTAAAAGCGATCTAGAATATTTACAAAGGAATAGAAGCAGCTTAATGGTCAAGTTCAGAGAGGCGTAGGCCTCTTGAGAGAATGGGTTACAAATATGTTACGAAAATGAAGAATCATGAAGAAATAGGCTGACAGCAAAGAAACATGAGAAATAATCTAAACATGAGAAATAAAACAAAAGTAAATGAAAAATAATAGGAATTTATTCAAGGATGCAATATAGTATCACAAAAAAATTTTCAACTTCTGAAAGTAATAAACCATGATATACTTAATCAAAGAGTGCTTATAAAAATGCTTCTACAACATTGAGAATTTCATGAAGTCTCAATCGAAAACTGTGTTTTATACTAAATATAAATTACTTTCAATAAAGAAAGAGAAAGTCATGGATAGTGAAATAGAAATGAGGGAAAGCTGGCAACGAAAAGGGTTCTAAAAGGGGGTTATAAAAATAATTTCTAATAAAATTTATTACACAAAAGTCTCAAGAAGGGAACAACACACAGTCATCTCTTTTGTTAATTAATATTAAGCAAATGGATGACTGCAAAGGTAATCAATGTAGAATTTAAAAGAGGCAGAAATTATTCTTTAGCTGAAAGCAGAAAGAATATCCTGCAGTAGAAGCTGGTATATGGTGGCATGTGCCTATAGTCCCAGCTACTGGGGAGGCTGAGGAGACTGAGACAGGAGGATCACTTGAGCCTAGGAGTCAAAGGCTGCAGTGTGCTATGATGGCACCTGTGAATAGCCACTGCTCTCCAGCCTGGGCAATAGAGCAAGACCCTATCCCTTAAAAAAAAAAAAAAAGTGAATATCCTGAGACAGAAATCTATCTAGAGGCCATTTGCCCAGCAACATGGAACAAGATAAATGATGATAGTATTAAAACAACTGACAACTGAAAGGTCATTTAATAAGATTATAAAAAAACCTATATGTACCAAATTTTAAGGAAAAAAGATATATATTACTTATTAATTCATCTATGTATCATAATTATTACCAGTAATGTACCAGTGTTAAGACCACACACACAAACACTTTCTGGATCTGGCAAAGAGTATGTCATGTTTACTTTTTCATGTGTTACATCTAAAATTTATATTGTAAACCTAGAAATAATGTATTTTGAGTTCTTTTTTCCCTAAAAGGCAATTTGATAATCTCACATATTCCAAAATTTTAAACAAAGAATAGAGAAAATTCTTATTCCAGGAAAAAGTAAGTTAAAATAGAAAATGTTTTCCACATGTTATTTAGCATGACAAACAGCAATAAGGTAAGCTTCTTGCCATAAAGCTATCTGTCAGGTGATTTCATTCTCTTTGACTAACTACAGAAAGGCTCATAGTTTACAAAGAAATACTCAGAGTTTATATACTAACCTGGCCCAGTCCAGGCATACCTCCTCCAAGTCTAAGAAGTCTGTCCATATTTCTAGAAAACAGAAACAAAAGAAAACGTTCCTAAGCACAAAAGTGTTTACTCAATTGCTATCTATATAATTCACCTTCAGTCACTCAGTATGTCAAAAATATTGGTGGTAATTACAACACAACATCAGACTTCCTGTTAATTAACACCACATATTAATTTAAGAAGCTGTCTTCCATGCTAATTAACAGACCTTATTTTACTGCTTTGGTTTTGGGTTATCCCCAGTTTTAAAGACAAGCAATCTTAGCATACTTTCAAAACTTTGCAATCATTAAGTTAATTATATTTTCTTATTGTTATCTAATAAAGTACCTGAATGAGGAAAAAGTGCCTGAAATGCTTATCATATGTATGATTGAATTTCCTTCAATTTGTCCAGAGTATACAAATAAAAAACCTCACTTTTAAATTAAATTTTAACATCCTCATTAGTAAGTTCTGTGCTAATTAACTTACAGCTTGTCAGTTATCATCAAAACTACATGTGAAAGACATTGTGAGCAGATTATGGATCTCTGAATTAGCATCAAAGGCTTTTTTAAAATGAACTCATTATACTAAAAGAAATACTATAGCGTAAACATTAAATGCGTTAAGACAGTGTCCTAGAACTTACACAGATATTTTGTATTATTTCAGATGTTGTGGAAATATACACCTTTTTCACTAAGAAAATTCAGCTGCCATTCTCAATTACAATTTCAGAGTTGACAGATACAAAGAGGATAAACTTTGAAATATCAATCTGATTTATTTTTAATGTTTAGAATAACTACAGAAGATAATCTTATAAGCTTGAAAAACTCAGAAAAAAACTGAAGAAAAGAAATTCCAAGTGTACTTATATAACCTTATAATCAAATTATAAAAATTAATAGCAGTACAACTACTTAAAACATGCAATAAAGCATTATGTTCTACTTGAAAATTGCTACTATGCCCTGAAATTTCTCTTTTTCCTAAGTATATGCTTTAGAAAATGGTTTCATTACAAATTATATTCTAAATTAGATGTTAACAGATTAGCTTCACTGTTAAGCCATGTTATTTTACTAGTTACAACTGCTATACAAACTAAAACTCAATAATGTACTTATGATTATTATATTACAGCCTAAACATGTTTGTTGAATCCTGGTAACAACTTAATCCTGCTAATATTTAACAATGTTAATATTGTAAACTTTATTCAAATCCACATACAGAAAAGAACACAAATGATACAGCCGTGTAATTGTCCCAGAGTGAATACATCCATGTAACGATCACCTAGCTCAAGAAACAGAACATTATCTGCTCCTCAGAAATGCTGCTCAAGCCCCCTTCCAGTCTCTTGTGGTAAAATTCCAACTCCTAACAGCACAGATTAGTTCTGCTGGTTTTGAATTTTATATAAATGGAATCTCATACTTTTTGTGTCTGGCTTGTTTAACATAACATAATGTGCGTGAGATTTACAATTTTAAAAATTCATTTTTAAAAATGAAACAGCAAATAAGAAAACTTGATAGTCCAGACAAAATTTCCACTTCACAATCTTAACTCATCCTCCTAAGAGCAACATTTACAAATAAAATCTCCAGAAAATTTTCATTAAAATTATTCAACTGAAATATGACATTCAGTACATAGCACTTTTTAAAGGCTGTAGACAGAAAAAATCCTGTATATTTTATAATATTAAAGACATTTCTCTAAAATATATTACCAAGGAATAAAAAAATTTCTTTTGGATCATTTCAAGCTTATAAACCTAAAGAACCAATGGAAAAAAACAAACAACATACAGTATATTTTAGAATATACACATTCTAGGCCAAAGTTGATTCCCAGCTGTGTTCAGTTTATCTATTTCCCCTCTGTTGTTTCTGATGACTTTACACAGACTCCAGATGCTGTGAATATACATGAGTGATGTGGGAAGCAGAGAGAAAGAAAATCTGACAGGTCAAATTTATTTTTTTAGCAAAATTAGATGTCTCAGCAAACGGAAAAACATTTAACAAATTAAAACATTGAAGACAGCCAGGTTTGATAAAAATACTAACATTTGGAAGTAAAATATATTGATAAATGTTCTAAATCACACTAGTTTTTAAAATCTGGTTATCTAACACACATAGTCATAACTGAATGTCTGTTTAAAATAATACATTTTTGTAATATCTCTTTATAATATCCTGAAAGAATAGTTAAACATAAAATACATTCTTAAACCTCACCTGATCAGTAACTGTAACTCTTAAGCTTCAATTTGTTGAGTTTGACAAATTTCTTCTTAACACAAGCTCTTGCTAATTCCGGCAGGTATAATTTTCCCAGGTTTTTTTTTTTTCTCTTTCTCTCCTAAAAAAAAGGTAAATAAAATAATATACAGTTATTGTGATAATTAAGCAGGAAATTTTTATACCAAAATTTTTAAAAGAATCAAAATTCCTAAAAATGAATTAGATATCAAAACTACTTTTTAATAATCATTTCCTGAAAGTATGGAATGATCTACAATCCCGGGGAGCTAAAGAACATAGAGATTTACTCTGTATGAAGATTTTGTTTGTATATTTCTCTCTTGAGCACTAACTCTGAAGATTGATATTTCATAAGTTTAAGTCTTTCTAGAGGTCTTTCAAAGAACAAAAAGAAAATTTACTTATATTTTTAAATAAAACAAAATTCATTATTTCATGCAATTACCATAGAGGTTCATTACACCATTATTACAAACCTATGATGTATTATAGAACATTAGTGATATTAATTTCTTATTTCTTGAAGGTTTGCTATTTTATCACCCTAGGAATTAGTTCATCATTTCTTAATTATTCCCAATTATGACAAAAAAGACAAAAATAATACAATGGAAGAGTAAGAATTATCTAAAATAAAGCAATAAATTACACCTATTGCATCATCCTTCAGTTCTTATTGTGTTGGCCAAAGCATTGATTCAAGTTTCAGAAAGAACACTAGAGACATCATCTTTGTAGTCTTTTTTTTTTTTTAAGCTTTCATTGAACACAGTTGAGAATTCAGATTTTTTTATTTGCCACCCATAATGGCAAAGGGAGGAATCACAATGTGCATGCAAAGGAGACATATAACAGCACTCTAGTCTCTAATGACAATGTAACTGATAGTGCAAGCTAAGGGCTATTTAACTTCAGTACTACTGCCATTCAGAACCAGATAATTTTTTGTTGTGGGGGCTGTCTTGTCCATTATAGGATATTTTTTGGACTACAGGCACACGTCGCCATGCCTGGCTAATTTTTCTTTTCTTTTTTTTGGTCGGGGGTGTGTGTCTTGCTCTTGCTCAAGCTGGTCCTGAACTCCTGACCTCAAGCGATCCGCCCACCTCAGCCTCCCAGACAGCTAGGATCACATGTGTGAGCCACGGCACCCATCCCATTATAGGATGTTTAACAGCATCCCTGGCCCCACTAGATGCCAGTAGCACCTACCCAGTCGTGATAATCAAAAATGTCTCCAAAACTTGCCAAATGTCCCCTGGAAGAGCAAAATCACTCTCAGTTGAGAACCACTGATATAAACAAAATCACAGACTATGCATCTTGAGATGACAATATCCTAGATTAATTTTCTCAAACTTAAGAACCAGCGAGTGCCGGAAACAGTTTGGTAATTCCTTAAAAATTTAAAAATAGAATTACCATATGACCCAGCAATTCTATTCACAGGTATATATCCCAAAGAATTGAAAACACATATTCAGAACAAGTTCTTGTACATGCACATATATGGAATCACTATTCACAACAGCCAAAAGGTGGAAACATCCAAATATCTACCAAAGGATTAATGGAAAAACAAATTCTACTATATACCCCCAAGGGAATGTACGGCATGTTATTCAGCTATAAAAAGGAAAAAAGTATTGATACATGTTACAACTTGGCTGAACCTCAAAATACTATGCTATGTATTATAAATGAAGCCAGGCACAAAAGGTCACATATTGTGTGATTCCATATATATGAAATATCCAATAAATCCATAAAGACAGAAGGCAGACTGATGGTTGCCAGGGGCTGGGGGAAGGGAGGAAAATGGAAAAACTACTTAGTGGGTAAGGGATTTTACCTTGGAAGTAGACTGAGGTAGTAATTGTATAACACTGGCAATTGGACTAAATGCCACAAAATGGTTAATTTTATGTTATGTGAATTTCCTCCTCAATAAATTATTTTTAAAAAGGGTCAAATGAGTGAACAATATATTTCTAAGACCAAAAAAGAAATTACATTCTTATCTAACTAGATTAAGTATGTACTTCAAGAAGTCCTTCATCATACACTATTTTGCAACAAGAATCAGTTTTTGCTAGAGATGTGTGACATATTCTTCAATGTTTTATGATGGTGATACAGTTTACACATCAACAAATGCTGAAGTGCACAAAAAGGTGAATAAAAGGAAGTAGATAATGTAGAAATTTTAAAAATCACTGGACTAATTCTATTTGGTGCTTATACATCTAAATATAAGAATGTTTTGCAATTATGGAGCAAAGATGATAGCCATTCTCTTCAACAAAATTATGAGCTGTCCATGTTTTCATGGATGGCGATGGATCATGGATGGTGATGGATCGTGGTGATGCTTACACAATGATGTTAATGTACTTAATGCCGCTGTACACCAAAAACGGTTAAAATGATAAATTTTAGGTGATGCATATTTTACCATACACATAAACACATAAACACACACACACACATACGGCTTGCAAAAAGAAAAACCAGAAGTAATAAGCTAGGGCCTATTAGAGATGCATTTGAAATACAGAACTGATCTTTACAAGAAAGATATATTCCACCTTCATGCATGATGGCTGACTAGCCATTAATTACATTCAAACAATGTTGCCCATTTCAGGTACATACACCTTCAAAACCAAGAAAACACAGAATAAAAGTCTGTATTTGCTATGTTTAAGCTTTATTAACATTTCCAATATAGTTTTTTCCCACAATCCCTTTATTTTTACTTCTGTAAATTATTCATAAATTGACCTAAAGGGGTAAAAAAAGTAAAAAGGTCCACCAGACCCAGATGCCAAATAGCGATGACTGTTTTTCCTAGCATATGAAGGTTAAGTGCTATGACTGCAGGTAGAGTGCCAGGATTCAAAAACTGGCTCTATGTTCATTCAAACCAGGTTGCTAAACAAACAAACAAAAAAAAACTGGCTCTAACACTTACCAGCTCTATATGCTTGGGTCAATTACTTCTCTCAGCCTCAGTTTCCTCATCTACAAAATGGGGATAATGACAGCATTTACCTGATAGAGCTGATCAGAAGATTAAAGAAGATAAAGGACATAAAACATATTTAAAACAATGCCTGGCATATAATAAGTAATAAACACTAGCTGCTGTCATCAGCACCACCATCCTATGAACATAGCTACCAACATAGATCCTTCCTTCCTCACGTAGTTTGTCAGTTAGTGGGTTTCAAAACACCTTGCATATTTCACAGTACTACATTAATCACACTGGCTGGGCACCCGTGGTTCGCACCTGTAATCTCAGCACTTTGGGAGGCTGAGGCAGGAGGACTGTTAGAAGAAAAAAGTTGGAGACCAGTTTGGGCAACACAGCGAGAGCCCATCTCTACAAAAAATTTTTTTAAAATATTAGCTGGGTGTGGTGGCACACACCTGTAGTCCTAGCTACTTGGGAAGCTGAGGTAGGAGGATCACTTGAGCCCAGGAATTGGAGGTTGCAGTGAGCTATTATCATGCCACTGCACTCTAGCCTGAGTGGCAGAGTGAGACCCTGCATCTAAAAATAATTAATTAATCAATCACATTGGAGACAGGGACTCGCAATTCTCAGAACTTAGCAAAAAGGCTCACAAAGGGAATGTGTTATACACACATTTAACATAAAAGAGAACACTTTCAATTCTTAGAAATAGAAGCAATACAAAGGTCTATGAATCTAAACCAAGTTTTTACACTTATCAAAAAGCAGAAGAGGCCGGGCGTGGTGGCTCACGCCTGTAAGCCTAGCACTCTGGGAGGCCGAGGCGGGTGGATTGTTTGAGCTCAGGAGTTCGAGACCAGCCTGAGCAAGAGTGAGACCCCGTCTCTACTAAAAATAGAAAGAAATTAATCGGACAACTAAAAATATATAGAAAAAACTAGCCGGGCATGGTGGCGCATGCCTGTAGTCCCAGCTACTCGGGAGGCTGAGGCAGAAGGATTGCTTGAGCCCAGGAGTGTGAGGTTGCTGTGAGCTAGGCTAACGCCACGGCACTCACTATAGCCCGGGCAAAAGAGTGAGACTCTGTCTCAAAAAAAAAAAAAAAAAAGCAGAAGACTCAAAAACTCATTTATGATATAATTAACTTTAAACATTATTAGACTATACCTAATATAATGTTATACATACAGTAATGTTTAGAACACTAATTGGTAAAAATAGTACAAAAAAACCACAGTACTTTCAAAGGTTGTTGACTTTCCACTTTTCCTTTCTCTCTCAAGTTAATAATTGATTAGAATCTGGTATTGTTTGAGCATGTTCATGTTGAATTTAAAATAAATCAATTTTCAAATATTTATAGGAAATGTATAGAACCATGGATAACTCTAGAAAGTAAATTGTTCAAAATTATATTAATCTGGATTTGGAACCTGAGAATTTTTTTTTCAACTTTTCAAACTTTTCACCAGGGATACCCAATAATTCATAAAACTCAAACAAAATCATTAAGTTCTTAACGTTCAGGCTTATCATTCTGTTTCCTAGGTCAGTGTTCATTTTTCACTCCCCAATCCATTCTGCAATTAAATACTATTACTTCTCAGACTGATGCTAAATCCTTTTTAAACTACTCCTTATTTGTGATCTCACTGTATTTGTAATTTCTCTATTTTCTGATTTGTGGAAAGTAACTAGGAACTCTTTCTCTCCCTTTCTTAAGGACTTTTTTTTGTGGAAGATCTACAGTCAACATTAAACTTAATTATATAAATAGGATTTTGAAAGCAAGATTTTTTCCCCAGCTTAGAAGAGTGGGTATGGAATTATCATAAATATCTACTGTTGAGTCTCCTAATTTCAGCATCCAAATAAAACATTTATTGAGTACAGTAGTCCCTCAGTATCTGTGGGGATTGGTTCCAGGACCTCTCCTGAATTCCAAAATTTGTAGATGTTCAAGTCCCTAATATAAAATGGTATAGTACAACATTTGCATATAACCTATGCTAACCCTCCCAGTATACTTTACATCTTGTAATCTCTAGACTATTTATAATACTTAATACAATGTAAATGCTATATAAATGGTTGTTACACTGTATTATTTAGAGAATAATGACAAGAAAAGAAAAGTCTGTACATGCTTAGTACATATGCAATTTTCTTCCCCAAATATTTTCAACCTGTAGTTGGTTGAACCCATAATCCATGGATATGGAGAGCCAACTATACTATCTTGTGTACTCAAGAAACTTACTGGCTTGCACTGAGAGAATTTATAATCTACAGGGGCTAGGGTTGGGGGATTGACATAAACCCATAAAAAATATGTAAAGTGAAAGGACAGTGATGTAGAGTAGAAAAGCTTCTAGAACCAGCTGACCTAGATTTGAATCCTGGCTTCACCACCTTCTCACCAGATGATCCGGAAAAAGTTACCACCTTCTAGACTCTAGGCCTCGTCTATAAAATGGGGATAATACCTACCTAGCAAGTCTGTTGTAAGAATAAGTCTAAAGTATCCAATATAATGCCTGGAACATCCAAGGTACTCAATAAACGTTGTTGATGCTGTTGTTATTATTACTGCCTTACAAATGGAAGAGATTATTTAATCAAATTCTCTCATTTTACAAATGGGGTTAGCAAAGTATCATAAAGCAGAATATGAAATGTCAAAATGAGTGCAACAAATAGCATATGACAAGTTCATGAGCAAGAAATCACATGAGCATTCAGGCAAGACTTTCACAGGTGGACAATGAATTATGAAACAAACATTGCTATAAAAATGAAAACAAAAAAAGCCGGAACGCTTTTTGTTACTGATTATCAAACATGTGGTTCTCAACCTAGATACTAAGCACAAGGTTTATATGGCAAGTTTAAAAATAGGATGAACTCATGTCAGAAAGGTTAAAATCCAGCTTGAGAATGGCAATATATTATTTACCAAACACCTTGGTTGTGTGTGGGGTTGGGACCTTGGTGTGTGTGGGGTTGAGGGAGGAGGTGGAAAGAATCTCCCAAACTCAGTAAGTGAGGCACCAGTGAAAGATCATGACTTCAAAAGTTTCTTCTCTTGGCAAGATTTAATTTTATTCTCGGACAAATTAAAAACAACATTCAGGCTTTTCACAAAATACTACCTCACTAAACGCACCTTAACTGTAGTTAATTCTGAACCACTATATATCTTTATCTCTATAAATGCACAATAACCCATGCAATTTGCTTAAAACATATATAAGTCAAACTTTAAATGAGCCAGTTGGCAGCCTTACGTGACAAGAAAGCCATCATTGTGTTAATCATCGTCACTAAAACTGTATTCAGTTTTTTGTGATTTCAACATTATTATTGTCTGTCTTATTGTTTTCCTCAAACACATTAAGCCAGCACTACTAAAAACATAGTTTTGTGAGCAGTGAAAAGAAACATTTTCACACTAAATTATATTCCTACTAATTTTTAAAGCCTCTCCTCTGCTTTTCTCATGGAACTTTTACCAATTTTGGGTTATCATTCTCATCCCAAGAATTTTTCAGTCAGTCACTGAATTTATATTCGACTGTTTCGAAAAGTTCACATTTTTATTCTTTTGACAGACACATAGCTATATCCCCAGAAAAATTAAGTTCCAAGAGGTAACACAGTAGATCTGTACTTTACTGAAAAAAGGAAATAGAATCAATTCACCTACTACTCAATTAGGACAATATTAAAAGTAAGTTAACAGGCATAGCAGCAATAACCACACTTTCTTTTGAAGACATTCAAGGTTAAGATCCAGTGCATCTGCGAGGATTTTTGTTTATTTTTTGAAGGCAGTTGAAAAGCTAACACTAAGAAAAAGGGTCAAGGCCTGTAAGAAGGGCAAATGATAAAGCAAACATGCATTCAACGGGCAAGTTAATTTTGTTCTCTCTCCCTTGTTTCCCTAACTGCTGTGAAGTTTTTCAACACAAGAACAACTATTGACAAAGCACAGGCAAATAGGCCATAACCAAGGGTTTTCCCTGTACAAGAGAAGAAAGGTTCTCCAGATGTGGTGAATTCAGCCAAGCAGAAAGGCACGGAGAAAGGAGACCACATCCCGGCCTGACCCTGCCAGAGACCCCGGGGAGTCGGGGAAGAGTACGAAAGAGCCTGGGCTCCTCCCTTAGGACACCGGCCTCCAGTGGCAACTCGGCTGGGCAACGTGACTCAGGAAAGCACGGGGCGGGCAGCGGCCTACCGCGACTGCCGTCCCGGACCTCCCGGACCTGTTTTCTGGGTCTTACCTGAAAGCAGACAAGGACAGGATGCCGCGGGCTGGACCCTTGTGGCTGCCACTACGCTGACGCGAACGCGGAGGCGGCAGCTTCAGCAAGAGCGGCTCAGACTCGACCCAGCTCCGACTCCGCGAACCGGCGATGAATCAGCCCGATTCCATTCAAAAGAGTTGCCCGGGCCTCCGCCGCGAAGCACTTCCGGGTTCACTGCTCTACTTCGGCTTCCGTTCCCCCGACGGCCAATTGGAGACGACGTGGGAGTCGGGCGGGTGTCCCGGTAGGAGAGCGCAGTACAGACGGCGCGGCTGGAGGACGAGGCGGAAGTTGGCGCCGCGGCCGCTGTTGCCCCTCGGACGTCCCACTTTTTCTCTCCCCACCTTCGCGCTCCCCTGCAGCCGCCGAGATCTGGGACGGCGGCACATCGAGCCCGCGAGGTGACGGGCTAGGAAATGGAACCGTTAGTATTGTGGAGCTCAGACCCCTTTCGTTTTGGTGTTCATCGCCATTGTGACCCTCCTCAAAAACTAAAAGGTTCACTTGACTTAGACTTGACTTAGTCATCTGAGAAGCAAAAAAAGAAAAGTGAGCGGTGCGATTAGAGGGGAACTGTCAGACGCTCTTTTCCATAGTCCCATTTACCCACCTATTGTCTTTACCGCTTTGCGAGGATTGGATTCCAAGGAAAAGTAACGTTTCCCAAATGTGCAAACCACATATTTTAAGCTCGATGTAGTTTATAGGGCTTAAGGAATCGTTTGCTTACGTTTTTCCCATTATCTGCTCAGTGCTAGGATTTGAAAAAGCAAAACCACCCGAGAAATGACTATTGGCGAGTTTATATCACACTCTAAGTCTAGATACAATCTCTGTTCCGGCCAACATGTTTACCAAGACCCTGTCACTTTATTAATATGCTCCAAATAAGCATTTTTAAAGCATTTCTAAATCAAGAATGGTGATGAATCTACTGGATGGAGAGGAGCGATTACAGCATCTGCATCCAAAACTGTGATTTGAGTGGCACAATTACATTGAATTCTTCCTCTCAGATATTTACATGTCTATCTAAAAAACACAATTATCTTACTCATAGGTAATGTTAGTTATATTTGTATACACATCTTTTTGCTTCCTCCCAAACCTGTGCCTCCTGTATTCACTTTTTACAGTGAACAAACTTATCTTCCAACTAAGTTCCTAATCAGAAACCTGAAAGTAGTCACTTGCCTCTTATTCATCTCTCCCCACTGGCCTCTCAGTTAATCACTCTAGAAACCATAAAGTCTCTGTTCTCCATAATAGCTTTTCCGATCGACCTCCACTCCCCTTTCTCCATACTCCCCACTTCAGCCTTAACTGAGACTTCCCACACTTCTTCCTTAGAATGCTGCAATAATCTCTTTGATCTTCCTGCCATCGATCTGTCCCCTTTCAATCCATTCTCCACCTCATTGACAAAAACTTTTTGTACTATACAAATACAGTCATGCCCTTTCTTAACTTAAAATTCCACTGGTGGCTTTCCATAACATACAATATAAAGGTCAAAAACCCCTCAACTTTGGAGCACTCTTTGCTCTAGCCACACTAAAATATAGTTAGCTGGGAAATGAGATAGTCATAGGAGCTTTGGAAAACCTCTGACATATTCCTGGGAATCTAGCATGCATACTTAGGGTATGCACATGCCTAAGGCTATGTGACTACTGAAGAAAGACCTGAGAGGGCCCTAAGCTTGCACATCTGGCTGACCTTGAGGCTCTGCACAAGCAAGAAGTGAAGGCTAAGACAGAATTATAAACTGTCTGGCTGACTATTGAAGGCATGCCCCAACACATACCAAGCCCCTGGGGAAAGACTGGGAGTCTTATTAGTTGAAGGTTTTTAAGGAAACTGCTGTCCAATTATGAACTGACTACTAAGCTAACTGAGAAAAAACTTAAGTGGTCACACACAATAAAGAATACAGACTTTAAAAGAATGAGTTCAGAAAAGTCACTAAGCCAGAAACTACTCAACAGAAACAATAGCAATCCCTGGGGAAGGGGTACAATGTGATTTCCAGAGCAGCCACAGTATATTATTTTAAATGTCTACTTTTCAAAATATAAGCATAAAAATAAAGAACCCTATATTCAGCAAACTGTCCTTCAAAAATGAGGGAGAGGCTGGTCATGGTGGCTCACATCTACCATCCCAGTACTTTGGGAGGCTCAGGCAAGAGGATCACTTGAGGCCAGAGTTTGGGACCAGCCTGGTCAACATAGCAAGACCTCGTCTCTACAAAAAAATTTAAAAGGTTAGCTGGGCTTGGTGGCATGGGCCTGCTAATGGGGAGGCTGAGATTGGAGGATTGCTTGAGTGCAGGAGTTTGCAGCTGCCATGAGCTCTGATGATGCCACTGCACTCCAACCTGGGCAACAGAGCAAGACCCCATCTCTAAAAATAAAAAGTGAAAGAGGTATTAATTCATTTCCAAAATGTATGTATAAACAAAAATAGAGATAACTTGTCACTAGGAAATCTTCCTTATAAGAAATACTAAAGGGAGTCCTTCAGGCTGAAATGGAAGGGCACTAGACAATAATTCAAATCCACATGAAGGAATAAAGAACACCTATAACTAAAAGTAACTACATAAATAAATATAAAAGACAGTATAAATATGTTTTATTTATAACTTATTTTTTCTTCTATTTGACTTAAAAGAAAATTGCATAAAAAAATTATAAATCCGTGTTGATGAGCATATTATGTTTAAAGATATAATTAGTATGATAATAACAAAGTGGGGAGAAAGAAAGAAATGGAGAAGGGAGAGAATGAAGCTATCTTACAACAATTTTTTATATACTATTGAAATAAAGTTAGTATTAATCCAAACTACATTGTTATAACTTGTTAGCTATGATCCCCAGAGCAACCACTAAGAAAATACTTTAAAAATATTTAATTAAAGAAAGGAGAAGGAAATTAAAATGGTACACTAAAAAATATGTATTTAACATAACAAAAGGCAACAATTAGAAAGAAATAGTGGAACAAAAAAGACAAAGACATAAAGGAAACAACAAAATTGCAAATGTAAATCCTACCTTATTGGTAGGATATTCCATTAAATATAAATGGAATAAATATTCCAATTAAAAGGCAGAGATTGGCAGAATGAACTAAACAAAAATAGCCAACTATATGCTTTCCACAAGAGATACACTTTAGATTCAAAGATATAAATAGGTTGAAAGCAAAAGGGTGGAAAAAATGTGCCATGCAAACAGTAACTAAAATGGCAAAACCATTTTGGAAATTGTTCTGGCATTTTAAAAATAAACTTAAAAAATACAATTACCATTTGACCCAGCAACTTCACTTTGAATATTTACCAAAAATAAATAAAAACATATGTCCATACCAAGACTTGAACATAATAGTTCAAATCAGCTTTATTAGTAATAGCTCTAAACTACAAACAATGCAAATGGTTGCTAACTGTTGAATGGATAAAATGTGGTATGTTTTTACCATGCAATACTACGCAGCAATAAAAAGGAAACTACTGATATATGCAACAACATGGATGAATTTCAAAAACATCACACTGAGGAAAAGAAGTGAGATGCAAAAGAGTACATACTATACAATTCCATTTTAATGAAACTTTAAACAAATCAAATATATAGTAACAGAAAGTAGATCAGTTGTTGTCTTAGTGGTTCACTGTGGCATTAGGTGGGAGGATTGACTGCACAGGGGCATGAGAGAAGTTTTTGGACTGTTGAAAATGTTCTATATCTTTATCGTGGTAGTAGTTTGTCAAAATTCATCAAGCTGTACACTAAAAACGGGTGCATTTTATTGTACAAGATTTATGCTTCTATAAATTTGCTTTAAAGAAAGAAAAAAGCCTTCAGATTTGTTAGTTTCCCCCTTTCCTTCAGCGGTACCAAAGTATTTGCAGTTAAATCATGGTTTTTTTTCACAAGGATAATGTGATTTAATTCTACAAATTTACAAACAACATAATATAAAAACAAAACGTGGAAAACCAAACAATATGAGGAGTTCCAGGACTTGGGTAAATCATGTTGTTTTACACTTTAGAACCTTCAAACCTATTATTTCTCCTGTCTGAAATGTCCTTCCCCCATCTTCTATCCCCACACTCCACTCTCATTTTGGGGGGAAGTAGTCAGTCAATACTCACTCATATAATCCTACACAATAATTCTATTCTGTAATCCTTGATTTGTTTGTCTGCCTTGCCATCTAAACTTTAAGCTTCTTAAGAACAGAGAGCGTGACCTGGCCATGGTAGATACTAAAAATTAGTGCTCATCCAATCAATAGAGTCCAATAAAAAGAAAAAAAGAAAAAAATGATGTTGAATATTGGAGATACTTGTCCAAGTACTTTGCTTGCTAAGAATACTTAAAAAGATCAGGAACAGGCCGGGCGCGGTGGCTCACGCCTTTAATCCTAGCATTCTGGGAGGCCGAGGCAGGCGGATTGTTTGAGCTCAGCAGTTCGAAACCAGCCTGAGCAAGAGCGAGACCCCATCTCTACTAAAAATAGAAAGAAATTAATCGGACAACTAAAAATATATAGAAAAAATTAGCCGGGCATGGTGGCGCATGCCTGTAGTCCCAGCTACTCGGGAGGCTGAGGCAGGAGGATCGCTTGAGCCCAGGAGTTTGAGGTTGCTGTGAGCTAGGCTGACGCCACAGCACTCACTCTAGCCTGGGCAACAAAAACGAGACTCTGTCAAAAAAAAAAAAAAAGATCAGGAACATTTTAAATCCAGATACGACTCCTCTTTAAATAATAATTCTTTAAAAACAAAATTTAGGAAATATATATGGCCACATATCTGATATGAATATTACATGCTAATGCTTAAAGCATTCATTCTTTGGGTTAGTCCCAATGTGGTTTTGGAGAACAGTATAGTGCACAGAATTGGGAAGTGTTTAATATGTTTTCTAAAATAATAAACTGACAAAAGTTCACATTATTAAATGCGTAATGTATATTGTATCAGAAAGAAACTTTTTGCTCATTTGTTATCCTCTGAACCTGGCAGGTTTATTAAATGAACAAATGACTCTGGCTGGTACCATTACTGCATATATGTTAAAAACCTTAAAATGCATCAATTTTATTATTAAAATTTCTTTCTATTTTTAAAGA